ATTGAAAACTGCTCCTCAAAAGCGACTAAGAAGAAAATGAATAAGCAAGCTATGGACTTGGAGAAAATTTTGCAAAATACGTTATTTGTTAAAGGATCTGTATTTGGAATATATAAGAACTACTACAGTTGATTAATAAAAGCACAAATAGCCTAATTTAAAAAGTGGGCAAAAGATCTGGACAAGCCCATTTCAAAGGAAGACAAATAAATGAACAAGAAATTGATATTCAACAGAAAAAAAATGCAAATTAAAATGACAATGAGATATAGCCACACATTCACTGCAGGAATTAAAACTTAAAACCTCACAATACCAAACAGTGAGCAGTGGTGGGAGAGCTCTCGTGCACTGCTGGTGTGGATGTAAATGGCACAGCCACTTTGGAAAAAGGTTGGAAGTTTCTTATGAAGTTAATCATCCACCTACCCATTAGTCCTGCAATTCCACTGTTAATTTTTTTTTAATCCAAGAGAAATGAAAACCCATGTCCATTAAAGACCAGTTTAAGCATTCATAGCAGCTTTACCCATAATGGCCCAAACCAGAAAACAACCCGCATGTGTATGCGCAAAAGAAAAGATAAACAATGCAATAGGATATTACTAAGCAACAAAAAGGAGCTCATTTTGGACACACATAACATGGATGAATCTGATGCTGGATGAAAGAAGTCAGACATACAAGAGTATATATATTATACTAGAGGTTTGATGCACAAAATTTGTGCAAGGGGGTTGTCCCTTGCAGTCCTGGCTTAGTTTGGAAGGTCATCCAGAAGGTTGATCAGCTGTCTGGCCTAATTAGCATATTATGCTTTTATTATTATGGATGTTTTCATTTATACAACATTCTAGAACCTTCTAAGAACTAATCTAAGATGATAAAACTCAAAACAGTGGTTGTAAAGATGGGAAAGAACTCACTGGGATTTTCTAAGGTGAGTGAAAATGTTCTATCTCCTGATATTGATTGATATTGATATGGGATACATGGAGGAGTTATTTGTCAATGTGAAACACTTAAGTTTGTGCATTTCTATGCATGTAAATTACATCCCAGAAAAAATATCTATGAAAGTCTTAATAGTTGAGTGGGTCAGGCTGGGGAGCAGGTGGAAGTACAGCTACACTAAGATGGCAGAATGTTGATGATTGAAGCCATCTGATGAAACATGGGGATCTAGAGTAGGGGTGTGGGCAAGGAACATCTTACCCCAGAAAAGGAAAATAAGGGTGTAGGTAGGTAGGGGTGAAGTGACCTCAGAATAAGGTTGATTCATTAAAGGGAAATCTGTAGGGTGAGGAGTCAGCTGGCTCTTACGGAAAAAACTGTGTAACTAATCCTGAGTAGATTCTGAAAGAAAGAGAGATGCATCTTGGAGAGACTGGAAATTGGGGACAGAGGATAGAAGATGGAGATAGAGATACAGGTGGGGATGGGGATGGGGATGGGATAGAGATGGATGGAAGTGGGGATGAAAATAGAGATGGGGATGGAGGTGGGCTGAGGACAGCGCTATGGCTGGGGATGGGATGGAGGTGGAGATGAAGATAGAGCTAGAGATTGAGATGGAGGTAGGGGTGGAGAAGAGGATAGGTTTGGGGATGAGGATGGGGATAGAGATGGAAATGGAGTTGGGAATAGGGTTGGGAAGGAGATGGAAATGGACAGAGGAGAGAGGGAGGCAAAGGGGGAAGGAAGAAGGGCAAGAATGACAAGAATTTTACCATTTCTATCTTGAATCTGAACAGATTCCATCTCTTAAAGGAAAACACAGACTTTCAGGGAGCCAGAGAGGTCTGGACAGAGCAAAGACTGGGTTTGGTAGGCAAAGAAACACATCCAAAGGGCGGAACCCCTGGAATGGTCCCTTAATCTTGCTAACACTGGTCTATTTATCTGCATGTTTGCAATTGTTGGCTTACTTGGAGAGTTTGCCTACTTATATCGGTTTAGTGTTTGCTTCTCCAGGTCGCTATTCTGCTGCCAGCTAAGAGCATTCATCAGCATGGCCAAAGGCTTGTCAGGCAACTCCCATGTGCCATCCTCTGCTGGACACAGACTCACAGGCAAGCTGGCCAGTGTCCTTCTCCACAGGGGAGCTCGAGGGGTGCCCACATTCTCACTCAGCCACACTCACTCACCCACCCGGGCCTCTGAGAAATGAGGCGATGAGATGTCTCACATGAGAAGAGAGAGAGCTGGCAGGGGAACTAGCTTTTTCTCCAACACATGGCCTGGGCGTGTGGAGCATGCAAGCTGGTGAGCCTCAGTGAGTGTCTGAGATAAGAGGAGGGACACTCTTCCCTCTGGTAGGTTCTTGAGTGTCTGAAAGGCACCACTTCATGGAAATGGCAGTTGGAAGTGCCGTAGTGAACTATTGCCCTGGAGGTGACCGTGTGTGTCTGGTGTCTGTCCTCACAGGACTAGAAGCCCTCATGCCCTCCCTGACTCCTCCAGGGGCTGGGCTGGTGGGCCTGCTGGCTTCCTCAGCTTCCCACGTTCTGCAGCAGGCAGCTCCATGCCTTCCTGAGGCCAGGACTCAGCAAAGGCTTATTAAATGAGTCAATAACCAGGGGGCTGTGGCAGGAGGGCTCATCAATGCCACTGTCTGGCACCACCTCTCCTGTTTCTTCTCACCCAGTGGTTCACGATGCCCTTTGTTCTTGAATGAGGGTGGTAGGATGGGGCTGGCTAACCACGGGGCATGAGAGGCAGCTGTAAGGAGCCAGGAGGGACCCTCTGGCCAGCCCCCTCCCTCTCCCCTCTTTGGCCTCTAATGGACTGACACCTTGCCAAGACTGGCTGTCTTCTGGCTGATGTTCTCGAAGTCTCCAACTACCAGAGTAGCCCTTGGTGAGCAGAAGACACAGTGTGCTGGGGAGGGCTGACATGTCTCACAACAACAGAAACTCCCACTTTTCAGACTCTTGTTATGGGCTGGGAGCCATGCTGCCTGCTTTTTCCGCTTGGCCTCGTCTAATCTTTAGGCGCCGAGGAAGGGAGGGTTAGTACACCATTTTGCAGGCTTGGAAACTGAGGGTCAGAGAGGTTAAGTGACTTGCCCAGAGCTACTCAGCAGGTGAGTAGCGAGCCAGGACCTGAGGGGAGTTTTGGAATTTGTCTGTTCCAGTTTATCCTGCCCTCCTGTGGGACAGTTTTGATTTTCTTTTCAAATCAAAGGAAAAGGAGAACACACTTGGGACAGGCCCTGGCCGTGAACGGAACGGCAGGTGTGGCTGCCGTGGGTGGGGCTAGACCTAGCGCTGCTGCATGGAGCTGCTGAAGACTCGAGGGCTGACGCTGCAGCCTGGAGCTGACGCCAGAGGAGCAGCAGGCCTGGGATGCAGTGGCCTGAGTGCCCCACACAGCACCCCCTTCACGTGAAGTATCTCTTGTGATCCTCGGAGCTCTAAGAGGGGGGGTCTTCTTACAATCATTCCCATTTCCCAGTTAAGGAAACTGAGGCTCAGAGCGGCTGAATCCTGGGCTTTTACACACTGGATCTACCATGCTCTCAAGGGTGGAACTCTGCCCTCCTTCTCTTCTTATCCACTCCCTCCTTTCTAGCATCCCACCACTCCCTGTCTGCACGTCTTGAGCTCATCCTCCCTTGAATGTGATGAAACACCACCAATACTAACAGGTTGCCGGATTTGGCCAATACAATGACAACATGCCCAGTTAAATTTGTGTTTCAGATAAACAACGAATGCTATTCTCGTGTGAGAGCATTCCAGACAAAGCCCGGGATACACGTATATTAAAGCTTAGTTGTTGTTTATGAGAAATTCACATTGAACTTGCCTCCTTGTCCTGTCTCTGGCAGCCCGATATCCGAGAGTCCCTGCCATGCTGGGGCCATGTTATCTGCCCCTTCCATGCGTCCCTCCCCGATAGCGGCTGGACTATTCTGGGAATTGCAAGCACTGGGGCAGGGCGGGGGGTGGGACACCCTGCTTCCCAGGTCAGCTGCTGGAGACGGCAGGGTGGCCACAGATGCAGGGGTGGGTGGAAGCCACATGACTTATTCCCGAGGGAGACCCAAAGTCATTTTGTCTTAATGTCTGAGATGTCCCAGCGGAGTCCCAGAGCGCCCGGCAAGCTGTCCCGGCTGGTGTCTGCCCTGCCCTCGACAGGACGCGCCGTGGTGCCCGCCGCTCTCTGATAAAGGTGAGTGGGGCCCAGTGTCTGCGCTGATAAGACAGAGGCCAGGGTATTTCTGAGTGCTCTGCCTGGCACCAGGGCATAGCCGCCATCTGTCACTGGCTCACAGACCTTCTTGGAAGCACCTTCGCCAAAGGCCACTCAACCTAGACAGTGCTGCTCACCTCCATCTCCAGGCAGCCACGCCCAGGCCCTGCTGGGTAACGGGTAACGAGGTGGGACACTAGGTCAGATGGTGATGTCTGCTCCACTGGGTGTCTGCTCCCAGCATGCTCACCTACATGTGTTTGTGTGCTCCCACCTGTCCCCCCCTTTCTGCCATGGGAATGCCCCAGCCAGCACTGCACTTTGTTCTCCGGGTACCTCCCGGGCGCCTGGCACCTGCAGCAGGAGGGTGGGTAGATGCTGAGGTCTGAGGTGGGATGCCCAGGAGGCTGTCGGGTCTGAGTCCCACCCGCTGTGCACTCTGGGATCTGAGTGTCCACCTGTTTGGCTCATGCCTCTCACTAGGTTTGGGAATGTGCTCCCTGTCCAGCTCTGCCCCCGGTGCCGGCCAAGGGTGGAGGCTGGATGCCACACACGACCCTGCTCCCCTCTGCCAAGTGCACAGCCAGGCAGCCCCTCCCTTGCCACCGCTCTGCCAGGACTTTCAGTGGGCAGTCCCCTCTGCCCGCTGGCAGCCGCTCCCCCCGCCAGGACCCCTCTCCTCTGCCTGTCAGTCACTTTGCCTTCTGACTCCCATTCAGACAACACATTCTAAAGCAAAGGGAAACGCAGCTTCCCCTGGGACACGGGAGGAAGGGCAGAGGGGCGAATCCTTCCTTACTTACTGTCCTGCCGTCCCCGGGGAGGATGGGGCACCGGGGAGTCGCACGCGGCTCACACGGGGAGGAAGCCAGTGATGAGTTTCTGTTCAAGTTCTTCATCCCAGCCGAGAAAGCCTCCCTGGGCCGGCCCAGGAGCCGGTGTGCAGCGAGTCCAGCCACTGAGCAGGCTCCAGCGGGGATGAGCTCACCAGGATATGGGCTAATGGCTTAACCCTTTGCGGGCCCTGGCACGGGCACCGGGGATGTGGCTTCTCTCAGCTCTGCTCAGCCACTCTTAGATGAATCTTGTGAAAAATTAATGAAGCGTCTCTGCAGTGTGTCTTCGAGTTTTGGGGAGTGCGCATCGGGGCGATGCCGGCAGGGCTGCTTTGCCTGGCAGGGCTCAGAGACCAGGAGACCCCGGAGCGGCTGGGGCGGTGGGGTGTGTGGTGGGGATGGTGGGGATGGTGGGGCAGGGGTGGGTTCCTCAGAGGCTATGCGGTGCCTTGACAATGGGGTGGGGAGCTCTGCTGGTTCTGGATGTTGGAGAGGACAGTGTAGATGTATCAGACACCTTTGGTTTCCAGGTGGCAACCCCTGGAACTTCCTGATGCGATCAGTGGGCACCACAAGTGACAGATACCAGGGGTCCACAGCAGGAGGTAAAGTGAGAGCACAAGGCCCCTCACACCCCATGCCCAGACAGCTCTGACCTGGGGCACAGCGCATGCTCCCCTTGCTTTTCCCACCCATCCCCATTTCCCCTGTGGGGTTTCATATCACAGTGATAGAGAATAAGGTCATTGCCACACTGGTAGGGAAGGGACTCCCATGTCCATGAACAGTTCTCAAGATGGGTACCCTGAAGCCAACAAAACTGTCCAAGATCCTCCACCAGGCTGGCTGTGCCCTTCTCCATGGTAACTGAGGAAAGGGAGTTGCTGTGGCTGCTCAGTGGCTGTGAGCCAGGGGCGAGGGAGGTCCTGGCTGTGGGGACAGTCACTGGGGGCTTCCCTGTGGTCTGAAGGGGAGGTTCCCCCAGGAGGAATCAGGGAACCAGGGGCTATGGAGGGAGAGAGCTGCTTCCATCGCTGGCATCTTGATTTCCATGTCTATGAAGCAAACAGGAAATTTCCAGACTGGGAAGGCTCTGCGGAGGCTGATGTGTGATAAATGGCCAGAGAAGCAGACAGCTCACAGAGCCGGCCTGTCCACTGAGCTGCTGCGAGGGGTCAAGCTGAGTGGCTTCCTTGTGTCCTCCTGGGTGAAAGCGGAGACTGAGCCTCCTCTGCTCAGGGGGCAGGAGTCCAGAGACTGTGGCTGGAAGCTCTGAAGATGTTGCTTGCTTTGCTGTAGGTGCCTCAGCCTTTGTGCTCACTCCATTTGTGAAGCCCACGGGCTGGCTTGTGAGGGAACCTGAGATGAATTATTTTGCAATGCAAATAATCAAATCATTTCTTTTCTCCTTTGTTTAGACCTCTGTGCTTTCCCCACTCTGCAGGGTGTGGCAGGCTGGTCTAGAAGCAGCCATCAGTGAGACAAAGCCTTATGCAGCACTTCCTTCAGAGCCTGCACTAGCCCAAGCACTTTATATGCATAAGGAGAGGCCAGATGCATGAAATTCGTGCAAGAGTAAGCCTTCCTTTCCCCTGTGCTGGCACCAGCTTCCCTCTGGCACCCAGGACCTGGGCTTCCCTCCAGCCACTGGGAGGTACCCGGAACTCAGGCTTCTTTTGCAGCCTTAGCTTCATCTGGAAAGTGGTCCAGTCTACTTAGCACATTATGCTTTTATTATTATAGATACTTCAGTCATTCCCCCAGAAACCCTCGGAGATGGGTATGTGAGTTAGATTGCTATCCTCATATTTGGCTTTAAACAAATTAACTTCTCTGAGCCTTAATGACCACATCCACTTAATAAAATGAAGCCTTTTTTTTTTTATGAGGACATAAGTGCTAAATGAGTATATTTATACTGTATATATTATATATTGTATGTAAATTACTGCAGTGATAGGAAAGTGATCCTTCATATCCAGTTTCTGCGTTTGTGAGTTCAGCCAACCAAGATGAAAATATTTTAAAAAGGTGCATGACATGTGCTGTGCAGAGGTAGGCCCACGATGGTTGTATCTGTGCTGAACATGTACAGACATTTTTCTTGCCCTTATTCTCTAAACAATGTAGTATACTAACTATGTATGTAGCATTTGCATTGTGTTGTTTTCTAAGTAATCTAGAGATGTTTAAAGTATACCGGAGAGTGTGCATAGGCTACATGCAAATATTGCATCATCTATATATATAAAAGCCTAAGTTATCCTTACGACCAAACAACTGGAATGACCAGAATGACTGGAACAACTGGTCGCTATGATGTACACTGACCATCCAGGGACAGATGCTCAATGCAGGGGCTGGCTGCTGGTGGTCAGTGCGCTCCCACAGCCAGCCTCCCTCAGCTTCTCAACCTTCCCTGGCCAGCAGGCCCCGATTGCCTGATTGGGTCCAGGCCCTAGGCTGGAATAGGGAACTAGAGGTGGGTGGTGATGGATGTGGCCCCTTTCCCAAGGGGGCCAAGGACTAACCTCCTGTGCCCTGACCCTCCCCCCAGGCAGCAGGCTCTGATCAGCCTGCTGCCTGCCTGCCCTGGTGGTGGTGCAGCAGTAAGGGAAGGAGGAGGGAAGGAGGCAGGGAACCGCATGGTGGCAGGGCACCAATGATGGTGGCATCGGCATCTGGCATCTGTTTCTTCCACTCCTGGCCTGGAGACCATCACCTCCACTCCTGCTGGGGCCTTTGGTCCCCTATCAGCCCAGCCCTGATTGGCTTGGCTTTGATCACCAGCCAGGCCTAGGAACCCCACCTGTGCATGAATTTCATGCACCAGACCTCTAGTTTTATATAAAGGACTTAAGCATCTGAGGGTCCTGGAACCAATCTCCTGAGGGCACTGAGAGACAACTATACATATACATATAGTGTATGTATATATGTATATATTATACTTGTACATATGTATACGTGTGTGTATATATACACACATATATAAGTATATATGCTTATTAGAGGGATTGGGGCCCAGGACAAAGTGTCCAGGGTAGAAGCTTTCAGGCTTTTCCCCAGCAGGACAGAGCGGGGGCATGAAAAGCCAGCTGGGTCCCTGGGCAGTGGAATCTGAATGTCCTGGGAGGAAGGGCTGCTGCTGCAGTGGGGGTATTGAAGTGAGCAAGCATGAGAACTGCCTGGGGGAGACTCCTGGCCTCTTATTCAGAGTATCATAACCACTCCAGCTCAGCTCTGCTCCCCCCGCTAGCCCAGTTTTATGCCCCGATGAAAGGGTCTGGGTGACCAGCCATCTGGGTTAGCCCACGATGGATGCGTTTCCTGGGACATGACACAGGACTTTTGGTGGAAAAATCAGGCCAGTTCCAAGTGAACCCAGGGGAACTGGTTACTTTCATAAAAACCCTGCAGCATTCACACCTCTGCACACCGGCTTTCTCTGCCTGGAGTGCCCTTTCTGCCCTCTTCACGGCTCACTGACCTGCCAATCCTGCCTTCTGCCATCTGCATCCTCCCCTGGGCTGGCTGGGTTCAATGCTCCTCCCTAGGTGGTCTGATTGTTCTTCTGCTCTATTATATTTATCAATGATTGTCTGCCCACCCCCCAAAAAATATTTAATCAACCTTCATTAACCACAATCCAGCTTCAGTAAATGCCAATGCTTATTCTTTTTCATTTGTCTCCCCTATGCCTCCCACACTACATTTTTATTTTTTAGCATTTTAAAGTGTCAACCAATGGTCATTGGTGCCAATTCAATGCCAAGAGAAATCCCCAAATTGGGTTGTGATGAAGAAGGGGATTTTACTTAATGCACAGCTCAACAGTAATACAGCACAGCTGTGAAAACAGCTCTGGAGCCAAGTGGCCCTGGGGCCAGGCCCCTCTCTGGCTAGATAGCCTTGCTCTGCTCTTTGGTGGTCTCCTTCACTCTGCCCTGGGTAGATCCAGCTCAGCCAGGGAGAGGCAGACTGCCTTCTTTGGTGAAAAGGGGCAATATGCTCTGCTGGCCAGAGGGCAGCTGGCTGATATGGACAGAAGTCTCTGGCCCTAATCCCTGATTGGTCTGTCCTCATGCAAATGAGGGCTCCAAATCCTTGTAGTTTGATTGGCCCAAAAGGCACTGCTCTAATTGGTTAGCATAGAGCTACTCTGATTGGCCAGAACTACATAGCTCTGATTGCATGGGGAAAGCTTCAATCCAATTGGCTGAAATAGGATTCCAAGAAACCCTGATAAGAGCCGGTTCAGATGGCAGAAACAGAGCATGGGCAGACAATATATAGCACAAAGGCCAGCAGTTCAGTGCAGAGGTAGGCAATTCAATGTAGGCTTCTCTGTAAAGAACAGTTTTCAGGAGAGGTCCTTGTGCAAAAATGGCTACTCTGTTTTTAAAAATTTGAGCCCAGTTAGCCACCAGAAGCCCTTCTTAGTAGGTGTCTTTGTTTTGTTTTTTTCTTCTCAGAATTCACAAAAGCAAACCCCCAAACATGAGATGTTTAGCTCAACCTTGCAAGTGAAGACGTGTATCTCTAACAGATAAGGACTCCTTTCTTCTCTTTACGGAAAAAACAGCCCCATCATAATCATCATACATGATTCACATGTTCCTGATTGTCTCAAGGTTTCCATAAAACAGAAAACATGTTCCTGATTGTCTCGAGGTTTCCATAAAAAAGGATCCTTATAAGAATTAGCCCTTCCTCCTAGTAGCCACATGTAAGTTTCATTTCATCTGTGGTAGTCACTCCCTCCACTGTTCACACTATTTAGTCACTGATAATGTTTTAGGACCTTCTGGATTTGGTTGGTTGCTTCCCACATTATGGACCTGGTTGGCTGCTTCCTCATGGATCATTTGACATTTTTCTTTCTTCAGCAAGGACCTCATCGTGCCTGCATTTCCACTGTAGCCTGGGATTCTAGGCCAGTGCTTGGGCCAGAAGTGGTTCCCAGTTGATGTGGAATGAGTGGCCAAGTGCACATTAACCATCTACCTTACAATTAACAGAAGCCTTTTGCCTGAGTGCCGTTTGGTCCTCAGGATAGCCCCATGACACAGACAGGGCCACCCTTTGTATATGCTTCTCAGTTGTACTGCTGGGACAGGCCACTAGGACTAAAGACTTATGTGCAGGGATCATGCCTGTCTTCCCCTCACGCCGGCAACATCTAGTCATGGGGATCCACAAACAGACTCTCAGACGAACTGTAGATCTCCGAGTCCTCCTCAGAGG